GGGGGGGGGGGGCGCTATTTTGCTGGCATTATCACCTTAATATCATGAACTATGTCCTTCAACGGTGAAAAATAGTCCTAAAGTATGATTTTCGGGAGGTGGTATTTCTCAACTATCAATCAGACATGACAATCATGCTCGTTTGACAAGGTCTTTTGCTCCACCAATTGACATTCCAAGCCTCTAATGCCTCTAATATCCTTTTATTCTTTGTTTCGGACTCACTAGCATCTCATATATTGAGTAGTGATTTTTAACTAGAAGTTGTTCTATCAATATAAGAAATTATGGAAGACTTGGGTTCGAGTTCCAGCACAGACAAAATACACAAGATAATTTCATCCCATTTGTCTAAGTTGTGGTGGGCAAAGTTACCTGCTAAATGTGCTAGTTGGACGTAGCTGCTGGTAACCAGTGGGATAGTCGAAGTGTGCGAGTTGGTCTGGATACCATCGTTATAATAAATAAGTAAATATATAGAAAACATTTCCTCAGCTTATGACTTTTGTTGTTCTCTGCTGTTTGACAGATTGCTATTGAGAAATAATAGCATGATGGTTATTGACTAGCATTATTTGGAAGATGCAGAATCAACAAGATAGGTAGGACGAACACCTTATAATGTACACATATAGTAAGATTACACCCATTCTGAACCCACAACTTTACATCTTAGATTCGCCTATATGCTAATAGTAAACTCCAATTTCAAGAGCATAAACTAAAAACATAACAAGCTAACTGTTGCGGAAGTCAAATGTATATAGTGTGAATAAGTCACAACTACTATACCAAAAATTATGACAGCCACCAAATAATAAATAAGACAATAAAGCAACAATAAAAGGAACACCAGAATTTACGAGGTTCGGCTAATTTTGCCTACTCCTCGGACACAACCAATATTTTATTCCACTCCAAAAATACAAGTGAAATAATACTAAAGAGAGAAGATACAAATGCCTTAAGAAGATAAGAAGGCAAATGAGAGGTGTGTTTAAATCCTAAACATTAGGCCT